GGCCAAGATGCCCTTCACCAGATGAATGGATAAAGAAGATGTGGTGCATATATACAATGGAATATTACTCAGCCATCAGAAAGGATGAATACCCAACATTTGCATCAACATGGGTGGGACTGGAGGAGATTATGCTAAGTGAAATAAGTCAAGCAGAGAAAGGCAATTATCATATGGTTTCACTTATTTGTGGAACATAAGGAATAGCATGCAGGACATTAGGAGAAGGAAGGGGAAAATGAAGGGGGAAATTGGAGGGGGAGACAAACTATGAGAGACTATGGACTCCGAGAAACAATCTGAAGGTTTTAGAGGGGAGGGGGGTGGGGGGATGGGTTAGCCCGGTGATGGGTATTAAGAGGGCACGAGCTTCATGGAGCACTGTGTGTTATACAAAAACAATAGATTGTGGATGACTACATCAAAAACTAATGAGGCATTGTATGGTGACTAACGTAACATAATAAAATTAAATTAAAAAGAAAAAAAAAGAAAAACTATTGATGTACTGTATGGTGACTAACATAACATAATACAAAAAAAAAAAAAAATCAAAGGATAGGAGAGTCCTTACTCAAGACAAAGCCCCAGAATTCACAATGGTTTGTTTTACTTTACAGGTCACCTGAGTGAGACATTAGTTTTGGTGACTGAGAGGAAGTGACCAGCTCACCTGCCCAGCGCAGCAAGCAAACATAGTTCCTAATCTACCTGTCCTCACTGGCTTCCCAGGCCCTCTGACCTCTGACACCACCATATCTTCCATTCTATAACCCCTAAACACTCCTGCCCTGAGGACACCTCTGTTATGCAAACTGTAATTTGGCCGTGATAGAAGGTATACACACACCTTCTATTGGGTTTTCAGCTAAAGGCCAAATTGTGTTGTTCTGAAAGGATTTTGCAGATGGAATTCAGGTCCTATTCAGTTGACTCTAAGAGAGAGAGTTTATCCTGGGTGGGCCCGGTCTAATCAGGGAGCCATCAAATCTCTGGGCTCTTCCTGGATTAAAAGATTCAAAATTAGAGACCATTTGAGGTGAGGGAGCTCCTCCTGCTGGCCTCTGGATAGAAATGTTGATACACTGGTTGAGGGCAGCCAGAGAAGGAAAGCAGGTAGTCCTTAGTAGCCAAGCATGATCCCCTGATCACAGGCAGCAAGAAAGTGGAACCCCAGTCCTACCACTGCAAGGAACTGAATCCTGCCAACAAACAGGGAGCTCACAGGAGGAACCTGAGCCACAGAGGAGAATGCAAATCTGGCTGATTTCAGGCTTGTAAGACCCTGAGCAGACAATTAGCTATGCCCTGCCCAAGTGCTGCCCCAAAGAAACAAGATATAAATTTGTTTTTTTTTTAAGCCCCGTATGTGGGGAAATATGTTTCAGAGCAATAGGCATGGAACGCAGCCTCTCTCAGGGCTCTCACCGGCACATCGTAGTGGGCCATGAGGATGGCAAAGCTGCTGAGGTGGGTGCACTGGCAGGTGGTGCTGGTGTCTCCAGTGGCCACCATCCTGCAGCCCGTGGTGGACCAATGACCGTATCCATCCGGAGTGTGATTCCAGAAGACGCAGAACACCTTTTGTGTTGGCCCAGGGGTCAGTGACTGTAGAAACAGAGTGTAGGTGGGAGCTGGTTGTTCTGGTGCTCAGAAATGCTTATCCAAAGCTGGCTTGCAAAAGGCTTTCTTTGGGGAATGATGCAGCCATGGGGGAGCCCCCAAGAACCTCAATCAAGACTGAGCTGAGCAGCGAGGCTGTGCCCAAGACCCAGGCTCCTTCCACACCCACAGTCCCATCTCACCAGCACTCACATGGTGGGAAAAGATGAAGGTGATAGGGGAGCTGAGGTTCTGGGTGTCCCTGTTGCTCATAAAGGCAGAGATGACGTGTGAGAGCAGGACAGAGGAGACTCCTCGCAGCACGCCCTTTTGTGCCCCATGCGGAACTGCCTGCCTCTCAGGCTCCAGGGCCAGGTGGGCCTCAGCCAGCAACTTGCCCATCCCCGGTGTGGAGACAAGGCCCACCACAGAAGGACCTGCAGGAAGAGGTCAATGTTGATACCTTGGGGTTCCCACAGGGCCCTTTTCTCCTCAGATGGATTCTTTGGGCCTCACTAAATCCCCCCTTCCCCTTAATCTTCAGTTCCCTGTTTGTCACATCCTTGGGCATCTTGTGACCTTCCCCCCATCTCGGCCAGTACCTGAGTCACCAGACTCGCGCACCACATCCCAGTTCAGCAGCATCTTCACCTGATTTGAACTCAAAGTGACATTTCTGTGTCCTTGCTCCTGCACCTTCAGGGACAGGTCTATGAGTGATAGGAGTTAGATAAGGGAGTTAGGTTAGTAATTGTGCCTGTGGGGTTGCTGTAACACCATTATTTTATATGTGTGGTGGTAGGCACATGCACACACTCTCACACACACACACACAGTTACAAAGGACTAAAAGAAAATATGATGAGCAATTATACACCAACAAACTGGATAATCTAGATGAAAGTGACAAAATCCTAGAGACACACAAAGTACAAAAGTAACTGAAGAACAAATAAAATTGAACAGACCTATCACAGGCAAAGGTAATAAACAGGTAAATATTCCCCAAAATAAAAAGCCTAGACCAAATAGCTTTACTGGTGAATTCTGCCAACCTTTTAAGTAAGAATTAATAAGAATCCTTTGTAAATTCCTCCAAAAGTAGGAAAGGATAGAATACTGTCTAAATAATCTTATGAAGCCACCATCACCCTGATAACAAAACCAGAAAAATCCATTAGGAGAAAACTATAGACTAATATTTCTTGTGAGCATAGATGTAAAACAACCTTTAACAAAATATTAGGAATAAATCTACCCAAGGAGGTTCAAGACTTGTACACAACAAACTACAAAAAAAAATTGTTGGGATAAATGAGAGACCCTAAGTTACTGGGAAAACAGTCTATATTCATGGTTTAAAAGGCTTAATATTGATAAGATGGCAATATTTCCCAAAGAGGTCTACAGATTTAATATATACCATATCAATATTCCAAAAACATTTTTTTGGAAATGGAAAAGTCCATCCTAAAGTTCACAGGGCATTGCAAGGGGCCCAAACACCCAAAACAATCTTGAAAATGAAAAACAAAATTGGAGTACATACACCTCCTGATTTCAAAACTATTAACCTACAGTAATCAGAACAGTAGGGCACTGGCATAAGGATAGACATACAGACCAGTAAAATAAAATGGAAAGTCCAGGGTGCCTGGGTGGCTCAGTCTGTTAAGCATCTGCTTCGGCTCGGGTCGTGATCCCATGGTCCTAGGACCGAGCCCCACATTAGGCTCCCTGCTCAATGGGGAGTCTGCTTCTCCCTCTGCCCCTCCCCCTCGTCATGCTTGCTCTCTCTCTCTCTCTCTCTCTCTCGCAAAAATAAATAAATTGAAAATCCAGAAATAAACCCATACATCTGTGGTCAATTGAATTCCGACAAGGGATGCCAAGACCTGGGGCGACTGGGTGGCTCAGTTGGTTAAGTGTCTGCCTTCGGCTCAGGTCATGATCCCAGGATCCTGGGATCGAGTCCCGCATCAGCTCCTTGCTCAGCAGGGGGCCCGCTTCTCCCTCTGCCTGCCGCTTTCCTTGCTTGTGCTTTCTCTTTCTCAATCTGACAAATAAATAAAAATCTTTAAAAAAAAAAACTAACATAATAAAATAAAATAAAATAATTAATTAATTAATTTTAAAAATCTATTTAAAAAAAGGGATGCCAAGACCCTTCAGTGAAAAAAAAAAGTCTCTTCAGCAAACAGTGTGGCACATCTGGATCTCCACTTGCAGTAGAAGGAACTGCACCTTACACAACAAACAAACATTAACTCAAAATGGGTCAAAGACCTATATTTATGAGCTAAAACCAGAACAGTTAGGAAGAAACACAAGTGTAATATTCATGGCCTTGGATTTGGCAATGGATTCTTAAAGAAGACACCAAATGCACATGCAACAAAAGAAAAATAGAGAAAACAAAAGAGAAATTTCATCAAAACAGAAGCATCTGTTCATTTAAGTGAAAAGACAGTCTATGGAATGGGAGAAAAACTTAGCAAATCACATGTCTCATAGAGTGTACTATACAATATATAAAGAACTCTTACAGCTCAACAACCAAAAGCCAAAAAAGAATTAAAAAATAGGCAAAG